ATTTAAGATGTGTTCGTCCGCATTTGAAAGCAAAATTTGTATGTAAAACAGTTGTCACAGTGACCATCACAAACACTTGCAGCATTTGGTCATCTTCTATTCAAGCAAACGTGTCTTACAACTAACTACTGCCTTTAACTCTTCCACCCAGGCGTTTGTAAGCTACGCGCGTCTTCTGGCATCCATTCCCAAGAGGACCAATAAGGAAGACAGATTAAAACTGCAGTAGCCTATCTTACGACTGACCTCCCAGGTTGTTGGCCTAGCCAGAGGCCACTTATCTCCAGCAGAACCTGTGCTACGGAAGGCCTTTTTGGCAAACGGAAACTCGCGTGCAGATGGGCAACACCCTGAACGCGACGGACTAAGAAACACAGCGTGTTCTGACTGCAAACAAATGTACAGCCACTCTCAATCCATTAAAGGTAGACGTGTTAAATTTATAGAGACACAGATCATAACACATAGTATCTAAGTATTGTGACAGACATTTCTTTTTTGTCAACTCATACCAAAATAACTGTGCGAAATATCAACCAAAAACCGACGGTATTTAACGCACTAAATTATGCATCGACACAGACAAATGAACGTTGTTCTTCCGCGCATTGCCGAAGAGTCTCGACATTTTAAAGAGTGCAGGCAATGAGATTTCTTCCCAAAACCTTTTGATATTTCTTAACACCAAACACACATGAAGGATATTGGGAGCTGTGCCGTTTGGAATACGAAAAGCGGTAAAATATGGGTCACGCATAGCCGAAAGGCTACATCTCAAATTATATTCCCCAATTTACAGAAATTTTCCAGTGTTTGTTAAATAAGATATAATGTAATATTTTCTTACAAGATGGCTTCCACTTTCTCGTTCCCAAACATTTGAATAATATATTCATATGTTTATCGCCTTCCTCCTCACACGAACGACCTACGCGTGGGCTAAATTCCACTTCCCTACTTTACTTTACTGCTGGCGGCCACCTCATGACACAGGCAGGACGGGAAAGGCAAAAAACATACACGAATACAGGCGACGTTGCGGCACTAACCTAAGAAATGGCGCTCACACTCAGGTCATTTTTCAGTATCGCATAATTATAATTCCTGACAACAAAGAATGACAAAAATGTGATGTTCAAAATTCATGGCCTACACTTTAAACTAAGACATTTAACAAAATATAGATCGTACAGGATTACAGTAAAACATTTGTTCAAACAACAAATCAAAAAGAAGAAACTGGAAGTTATTCTAGGCCCCAAAAGTTAGGAACCAATTCGTAAACTATTATTACGAAAATAAAATCTTTATAAAACGAAAAATAATTTTGGTTCTTCGAATTTCGTTTCAGTCTATCTTCATGCCTGTAGGCGCAGGCGGGACACCAGTATTACCAACATTTCAGTGATCGTGTAGTGCTAAATGCCGTGGTTACTAAACGTCGCCTTGAATAAGTGACCCTGATACGTGGGCTAAATGCAGGGTCTTGTGAAATGATGCGTGACACAGGATAACACGCATAATCGCAAACAGGAGGTCGCTGTTATGAAACTGTACAATAATTGTGCGGTACATAACTTCAGCAGTAGGCTGCATTGTCACACAATGACACAAAAATTAAGAAGACAGCAATTAACCCTGCTAACAACACAAAGGCCGCTTCCAATATCTGCACGCTCCTTCACATTGCTTTTACGATGAACGTAACTCCTGGAGATAGGCTTCCACCACAACTTAGAACCATCCTCTGAAGGGCCTATTAATTGTTACGCCAGAATGACTTTGAGATGAGTCAGTCCGTCCAGCAGGAACTTCATGACGCACCAGTTCTCCGTTATGACGGTGTTTACAGACACGCGACACTAATTTTAAGCGACAATCTTGTCTAGTCAGTTTAAAGTTCGCTCGTTTCAGATACAAAGAGCAGTGAGACAGAAACATAACTGCATTCTGAGTTGTGGGAATCGAACTGTAGACTCGCTCCCGAAAACGGGCCATGATCAAGGACGGAATTCTATACAGGCATAGGATAAACGAATGAATTGATCGATTTAAAACATTTAACAAAAACACAAACCGACGTTTCATAGGCACTTGCAGCCTCCATCATCAGGGCCCTCTACTGCTGCAAATGGAGGTTACATAGACGATGGACTGGCAGAAATATGGCAGTATTTCTCAACCTGAGGTGCGGACTACTGGTGAGGTGAGAAACTTTACAGTTTGAAGCACAATCTCCGCTCCTAAATGCGCCATACAATAACATTTTTAGCCTATAATCAGTTTTTGGAATTGCTTCATCTACAGTTGGCTTAATATACAATTTATTCAATGTCAAAACAATCCTGAAGGCCCAGAATTTCATCCCAAGAGATTTGAAGGAGACCATTCATGAAATATTTGTGTGTGGATCAGTGAGTGACCTAATGTGAAGTGTATGATGAGGTCAAGATGGGAGAGATTAGAATAACACGCTCTTCGTATTCTCTGCTCAGTAGCAACGCCCAAAATAACATAACATACCGACGCGAGAATATTTTTTTACCGGCAGCCATCTGTTTTGCAGTCCCGTTGCATAAACCAAGGCGTAACGAAAGAAGCCAGAGTCAACTACTGGAGAATGCAGACGCGAACTACACCGACCGACATGGACAGTGAAACACTGGCATGGAAATGGCGGGGCGCAGGACAACCATGCCACGAGACAAGGAAAACTACTCCTCAGAGGACGGGCGGATGTGTGCTGCACCTGTCTGCCTAAAGGCGAACGCCAATACCGGATCGCGTCATCGCCACATTCAGCCCGCAATTGCCATGACGTCCACCTCAAGAACATAAACTGGGCAAGGTGAAGGAACAACGCCGGTCGTGAAGCGACAATTTGTCTGTGCAATATGTAGTAAGAAAACAAATAATTGCACCAATCACGAGGATCTGCAGCCTCCAATCTAATGGGAACCGGGAGTAATGAGGCCGAAGCTTGAAGCTCACCACCTAACTTCATCTAGTGTCTAATCTCCCACCCCTAATTTAACATCACGGCACTTACGCATACGACAAGGACCTCGGGTTCCACATGAATCCGTTGTCATGACAAAGTTAATGAAGCGTAAATGTTAATAACACACACACAGACATTGTCTTGCACAAGGTGACAAAGTTAATGAAGCGTAAATGTTACTAACACACACACAGACATCGTTTTGCACAAGTCGAACAGCGACGAACTGATTCTGAAGTGGGAATTAGTTTGGTAAATATTTACGAACTAAACGGGTTCACACATCTGAAGCAAATATGGGCGTAAGTACCGAGTGCTCTTTAAAGAATTCTGATTAATCCTGGAATTCAGTAAAATTTTGCATGGAAATTACTGTTCCAACATAAACGTCTCTGGAATTGACACATATACAGTAACAAGGTATCAGTTCAGAATATGTCGACGTTTGCCAAATTCTGAATATTTTTAAAAAAAACCAGCCACAGTTTCCTCTGCACTTCAACGATTTTCTATCCTCCTGCAGATCTGGTATAAGAAACACAGACAACGCGAAAAAGCTTTTAACGGGAATTCCACGAAGGGCAAATCTTCTGCGTAGTCCATAGGAACGCGTAAAAAAAGTTCAGGTAAGTCACCAAAATGTGATGCAGGTTTCAAAAACTTCACGTCATGAAAATAATGGCAACGCTCTCTAAACGTCGTGTGGTTTTCACACAGTTATTATTGATCACGATAAAGATCGGTGTCACTCCACGATTCACCAGTCATGCTGACGTCCTCCTGCAGAAAACGTGCACGATTCCGATCTGAACGTAGACAATACAAATCAGCACACGGCACAAACAGAGATCATAAACCGGTACAAGACAGGATGTGGAGTCAAAACAGCTATTATAACAGAAAACCAGTGTGTAAAATTAGATGCCATTCGACCCTATGCAAATAAAAACACGTCTGAAGAAGAATTTCACTCGTTAATTCAAATTTAGTTATCATCTTCAATCGCTCATTGTCTCCCAACCAGTGAAGATTGAGGGTGGATGTTATTGAGGCACGGCGAATAGCGGTGGTCTGAAGCTGAATGAAATATTTAAAACAAAGACTCCACGGATCCTTAGAAAACAAAAGTCTGTGAGAAATACGTAAGGCACATGTTGCCATGACATGGTCGAAATATGTCTGATGCGTTGTGAGCAAGCCAGCTGAATTTAATAGCATTTATTTCGTAACAATGTTGCAAGATTATCGATTTATCATTTAACTTTCAAGCAGTCATCTGACGTTCCAAAAAATAAACAGTGAACACGTTAAATGTAGAATTCACTAACAATTCTCATTTCTCGTCTGTTATCGTACAGCAAAATTCAATGTTGTATCTAAAAACCAACAGAGGCTTGCCTTACTGTGGCGTGTACTCAAATATTACAGCAGTCACTGAGCGATACATGATCGTGAAATGAGCAATTCGTTAGAGAAATCAATGAAGAGGTCAGAAACCAGAAAAAAAAAAAGTCCTTCACGGCAGGGAATGGTAGGAATGTGTTGGACACTTCCCAAAACCTGTGCCATGTCCACTAAAACCATAACATGCATATGCAAACGACAGCGAACAAGACGAGGCTGTGCATATGAAACACGAAAAAGAGTACAGCAAGAACAGATTTCAGCATTCTGCATCGGGTAGTGACATCAGACCAGGCAACATGCATTATTAAAATGTGTCGAGTAAATACAGCTTACTTTCGATTAATCCGGCGATCGGAACAGAATCTGTGATTCGAGATACACAATGAAACTGAATGTTATCCACAAAACATCTTATTCTAAATAGAAAAAAACATACATATACAAAAGAGGTCTCTAAACATGGAAAAGCAATACATAAAAACAGCAACTTCCAAATTAAAACAGATTACAGTAAAATATTTATAAAAAATTTTATATTTATAAAATCGTGTCAAACGCATCAAAAGTCAAGTTTTTAATTTATTTCCTTTTTCCCTAAAGAGGAGCTTACGTTTCACCAAATATTTAGATAAAATTAATTAGATGTGTAGGGTATGCATACTTGATACACAAATGACAAACAAAACTAAAACTTTCCTGACAGCACTGATCTCAAATGTTGTGCAATATAGCATTCAGGCTGTGAGCCAACATTTCAGAGGAACACAATGCCTACATCCTCAGCCCTGAGGTGCAGCAACCCAGAGGACTACCACCTATATCTACATCAATGTTAAAATCACAAATCCCAAAGAACTATTAACAGACCAGTCACTTGAAAAAACAATTAAACACGTTGGGATTACTCAATGATCCTGTTCGCAGCATGTGCTGTGTTACTGTGTAAACCTAGCACGACTTTGGTTCATTTACTTCAAATGCAGTTGTTCAACCCTAATGACAATAGTTTAGGATAAATTATGTGGATGCACAATAGGTCAGTTGGTTACAGAGCATGGCGTTTGCATGCCCACAGAATTTTGCTTCAACATATAACTCCAAGTGTATTGAGTAACAAACCATTCAATAATCATTTGTAATGCAGTGTTTAAAGCTAACTTAGCATGGAAATGGCACACACATACTGATAATTACAAGCTAATACTAAAAATTACAGTACATAAATTCCATTTATCAGTTGAGAACAAATAATTTTCTGTGGGCATGGATCTGGTAATCTCACAGACCAATTACATTTGTTTTGGTTTTCCTTTGTTTATAAAGGATCACAAGTCACAGCAAAAATCAAAATAAATTGCTGATCAAAAACATCAACGAAAGGTACAGATTACAATAAATGTATGAATTTTAAATTAGGTCAAAATAAGTATCCTACCTTTATTTCATGATACTTCTCCTCCAAATAATATGCAATGTTCCTTGCTTCCTCATACTTCTGTGAGAGATGTAAATACTTTTCATAATGCTTCTTGAATAATACAAATCTGAAACAAACGTAAACCTCGAATATGACAGCGAAACCCACTCCCATACTTTAAAAGGTGACTGAACATAACAAGCAAACAAAAATAAATAAAATTGATAATCTGCTTTACAATCTCACCTGTAAAAATCATTTTCTGTTATCATATCCCGGATACTATCTTCTGGATCCACACGATCATACAAACCTACATGGCGATTTGATATTCGTTGCACATCAGAAAAGTCACCTGAAATTTTCCGCGGTGCTTTATCAGAATTGGTTGGCCTAACCTCAACAGTTTCATTATCACTGAAATGATTTGCTTTAGGGAGAACATGTGAAGACACCACGTCGTCCTCGTATACCACACAAACTGTTTTCGGAATGGATGAATCGCATCGTGTACGTTGAGTATCTGATGGAATTAATCCTGCACTCTGTAGCACCAAGTCATCACTCTTGCTATGTTTTAATTCCGAACCCAAAGAATCCCCGGCCCTACCATAACGATTCACAACAGACGATCGACAGCCATCCAAAAGCCTTCGGGGAAATGTGTCCCCTCTCGAAGTAACGGGCTGAATCAAAAGATCTGTCATCTTTTATCACAAAGTACCTAAACAGAAAACATGAATATTAGACATTGTCACATATGACATCATAAATGTATGATACTGAACACTGACGAAATTATATAACTGAAATATCAGCTTACCACAAAAGAAAAAACGTTTTCCAACATGAAACCTATGATATGCAAACATTCAAACACGGAGTTAACTCACGACGGCGTAGCGTCAACACAAACACAACAAACCACTCCTCATCCACCAACTCACAACATCTCGCTTCAAACTGGCGGGACCTACTAGAATCGAGCAATGTTTACTAACATCATCGCCAACTCTTACAACTGAATCTTGTTATTCAACTATTACTTTCCTTAAAACTGTTATATTTGTTTACAAACATGTATAATGAAGAAAGAATCATTCTACGCACCAATAAATATGTTGGTGTTTCCGCGTGCTTCTACCCAATAACCGATTTTTTAAAAATCAATATAACATGATTCTACTGTACTATTGTCAACCCTGATATGGTTGCCTTTTCAGCTTTGTAAACTCCTGCCATCTGGTGATCAATTCTGAATACAGTAGTTAATCAAAATAATGTATTTCCTGACTTGACTTACCACAAAATAAAAAATTAAGCTCTTGAATATTGTATAAACTACAAAAAATAAACAAAACAACACGCTAAAATTTTGTTTAAATCTTAACTTGAAGCGAATACGTTTAATAAAATACTGATCCGAAGCATATTGTAAACCATATTCACAATGGTGTTTCTGTGCTGCAGGAATTTATATTAAGTTGATTACAATGGCTGGACCCCTTCTGAAACTACTTGTAGGAGATGTCAGCGTCCTGCAAATAGCATTGGTCCGATATGGACATCATATAAGAGGAAAGCCGCCTGGTGTAGCAAGAACTTTGAAACAGCGGTTAGAAGGCAGGTCAATTTCAACCTAACCTAAGTCTGTGTGAAAACTATTTGTGGCAGAAATACAAGATTCATGTCATTTTATAGGATAGAAATGGAAATGTATGTTCAGGTTAAGTTAATTAATTAACTTGATAAACCAAATAATTTATTTATGTTTCAGAGATAAACTATAAAGATCCATCACTTAATTTCAAAGTTGACATTGGATTTCCTAAACCAAAGCCCTCACGATCAAAGGAACTCAAGGAACGAATTGCAATCATAAAAGCTGTTAGATCAAATCCAGAAATAGAAAGACTTTCTAGAAAAAAACAGCGTAAGTAGTACAGCTCGATTTAATAACTGTTGTTACAAATAGAGTCAAATATCTTTAATCTTCTGGTATGTGTAGCATTTAAAACATCATACAGTAAAACGTGAAGAAACCGGAAAAAAATGGTTCCTCCTCAGTCAAGATTTTTTATATCTAAGAAATCTGTGAAGCAAGGTACCACGAAGTTCATTTTTATATATACACAAAAAATCTTATCAGGAAAAAAAAATCAAATTATTCTGAAGCTCATAAAAATATGCCATGTATTTATATTTTTACATTGGCTGAAACAATGTAAACATAGATGCACAATAAACAGTTGGTATCATATTTCTGTGGGGTGTCTGAAATGTATGGTTTTGAATAACATTTCTCATTATTATAGTTCAGGTTTCCCTGAAGGAGGTGAAAGAAGAATGGCTGAAAACAGGCGGACCTTTCCATATACGACGCGTTGCCCGACATTATGGGGTGTATGATGATCTATTTGGTGATGCATACTTCACTCCACGAGTGATGTTGGACGTACACTACGAGCTAAATGACGAAAGTTGCTTTCCAGTACACCGAGGAAATGTGATTAAACCATCTGAGGTTGTATTTGATTAAATTTGTTATATTAATATCACACTACCATTCAGAAGCCAGTGCACCATACGGTGAAAAAGGGGCAAAAATGAACTCAGACAGTTGTTAGCTTTATCCAAATCGATTAAATGATTTTTGAGCTGATAAATCAACTGGACTTGATTCCCTATAAAACTATCTTTAATATTACACATGTTACATACAGATGAGAATAAAATCAACTTAAGATACATTTACAAATTTACTCTGCTTTAAAATCGTGAAGTAAATGTTTACATATTTTTTTCAAGATGCGCGTTTCCACACAAATCACACAACATTTATGTTCTTTCGCTTATGTAGTGGCTATTTTCGCCATCAAATGGTTGTATAGTGCAGTGAGTGTTCTTAAAGATTGTAAGCGAACGGCTGAACCGTCTATTTTATTACAGAATCATTAAAACCCAACAGTTAAGCTCCAACACACATTCTTCTGGGTTGTTGTGTGCTGTCTTGTGAGGGTATACCAACATTACAGAGGAACACACTATTTGTGTCTTCAGGGTACATTCAGTATTAAGTGTGTAGCAAGATTGGAAAGGTGTAATGCAGTGAATACGTGTATTCCACTTTCCAAATTCTTTCTTTTACGATTCTACAAATATCTTTTGTCTTGATGTTCAATTTTTAAGATGCAAATATATTGCTAAAAACTAATTACAAAATAGATATCACAGGACACAGAATCAGAAATTACTTTCCTTATTTCTACTTATATTTGCTATATAAAAAAATAAACATGAATTGTAAATGTTGATAAGACATATTTTATATAATTTCTGTGTGATGGACCAGAAAAAAATGGCAAATTTTTATTTGAGATTAATTTAAATGGGCAGCATTTGATTGATGCTAATAAAAATTAAATTCATCCTACAACTCCTTAAATAGCGATTCTAATTTTCAGAAACTAAATGTGGAGGCGGCCATCATTATTCAGTATAACCTCTTTCCGTAACAACGCGTGCACCCAAAAAAAGCCTTTGCGGGTGCCATGGCGCCCATGGGCACCGCGTTGGGGACCACTGGACTACATCATTGATTTATGAACATATTTCCTTGTCTTATGTTTGAGAAACTGTGTGCTTTATTCATTGAAGGTGGTGTGTTTTTATGACTATTATAGGCCGCAACTGTTCCCCAAGTGACATACGTCAGTGAACCGAATTCCCTCTGGACACTTGTTCTCACAAACCCTGACGGACATCTAACGAAACAAGATGCCGAATATGTTCATTGGTTTGTGTAAGTTACTCATTTAACTGTCTTGTGTTACAGTCCGAGTATAAGTAATAAATACAAGTGAAACGCACCCCCTTGGATTTTATTTACTGAACATTCTTTGTATTTCTCAGTTGAACACAAACTGTCTTGTGTTTTAGTTAAGTATTCAATGTTAGAGCAGTTTTCTTGTTGTACATTTTTATTTATGCGTAGCAGATAGAGTTTTGATACGTTGTAACATTAGTAACCGGTCTGTAAATACCGACTTTGTTTCTCATGATTTAATAAATTTCTGTGTTTGAAACATTTCAATGTTGACAGTCATAAGTGTTTCTGTATCTAGTAGGTATGCACTAGCAATATGTAGAATTTTCTAAGTCTTGACATACATTTTTTTTGTCTGATAATTTTCTTTTGTAAGAGTAGATTTTGTTACCTTATGTACAAGAGTTGATTTTTTCTTAGGGGCAACATCCCAGGTAACGATATTAGCCAGGGTGAAGTCGTGTGGAACTACTTGCAGCCTTTACCTCCGCGAGGCACTGGCTTCCATCGCTTTGTGTTCATCCTGTACAAACAGGAGAAGAGGATGGATTACACTCGGCTAAAGGAGGAGGGACCTTGGTAATGCCCGCGTACACATGCTAACTACTCCTGTTTTCTCTTTAATATGTCCTCCATCCTGTTTTCCTTTGTACATACATCCACCGTGAACATCAAAAATCCAACAGACACTATTTTTAAAAGTAAATGGTACCAAGAGCATGAGTTTCGGAAGTGGAGTGATGAATCTTCTTCTTCTTCTATGGCTCTCCGGTCCGTGTTTGGTCCACGGCCTCCTCAATTCTCCTCTTCCATTCAGTCCTCTGTTAGGTCCGTCTGTCCGAGGCTTTGATCGAGGTTTCAAAACATCTTCCATTTTACGATGCAAGGTTGTTAGCCTTGCGACCAACCCCCAACCTGGAGGACCAGGGTACCTGTCTTAGTCTGACCTCTCCCCCTCGAACAATCTGGCTAGGGAGGCCCTACCAGTAGCTCTTGGGGCCACTGAGGTACTCTAGCCCCACCACCACGACAAGGTGCAGGCACCATTAAGTGGGGACATTACATTACTTTGGTTATTAGTTTATATTTTAATGTCATATGTTTAATGCTTTGGTAATAGCAAGTGTCCAGTTTTGATTCAGCATTAAAGGTCGGTGCACTCGATATGACATTAAATGACTATCACGCGCGCACTCTTTCTTTGTCGAAAGGTGTTTTTGTGTTTTATTGATCCATTTCCTTACAGCTTGCAGTTAGAGAAGAGAACCTTCCAGACGCTGGAGTTCTACCGAGAGAGACAAGATGACATCACACCTGCTGGGCTTGCATTTTTCCAAAGTGACTGGGACATATCAATTACAGACTTCTTTCACAATACACTCAGTAAGTTAAAAGAATTCACTGCTCATTGGTGTAAGTTGTACAATGATGGCTCTTAATAGTGAAACAGCGTGGGATGGACGCCTGGGATTTGATATTCATCTACGGCAGGAATATTCCTTGATGAAGTGGACCGAGACCATTCCCGAAATATTTTGCAACCGTCTGATGTTGCCGATTGCCTGAGAAGACTCAACTGAATGTATTCGCAATGAAAGCTACGGGAGTTTTCCTATTTCCTATTATTATTATTATTATTATCGCAAAAATGTGGTTCATGTTTACTTCAGATTAAATAATTCATTTGTATTTTTGAACACGATTAGCCCATATCTACCTCCACAGGGCCTGTTTTAAACGTCATACATACCGGTTGTAAGGCGTTACATGTTCCAGTCTCACGTTTGAAATAAAAATTATTTTGATTACTTATTGGGATATTTCCTCAGAGATCAGTGAGAGGAGTCCGTATGATGATTCTTTTCATATAAAATATCCATTAGGCTACTAGAAATTAAATTGCAGCAAGATTTTTGTTGATCTTGTTCTGGATTTTGGTACCATGTAGACTTATCAGTAGATGCCGACGTTTCTCCGAAATGTGGATGAGTCTACAGAACACCAAAATGCAGAACATCCTCATCGTGAAGACTACGAATCTCGCAAGATTTTTGTTTTTGAAACAAATTTTATACCCCTTTCTTTCTTTTCAGATATGGAAGAGCCAGTGTTTGAATATGATTTTCCAGAGCCTTACATTCGACCACAGAAGTGGTTTCCACTAAGACAACCATTTAACCTGTAAGATTTTTAAGATTTTATTTTATGTGCAATTTTTAGTCTTGATGTTAAAAATTAAGTTCTGTTTCATGAAAATCTGCCAGAAATGTAACTGTTTAGAAACTTGGTACAGTTGTTGGTAATATTATTTTGCCTCAGAGTATCTTTCAGCTCCTCTCTTCCTTGACCTCGGCACTAGATGGGGGTGAGTGGTCAGCATCACGCCCCGACCGGCTTTACCCCCGGGAAAGGACCCCGGTACCCATTGTAGAGGAGGCTGGGTGGGCCCCAGAGCCGGTCTGGACGCAGAGGCTACAGGAAAAATCCTCTGCCCCCGTCGGGGATCGAACCCCGGTCGTCCAGCCCGTAGCTAGTCACTATACCGACTGAGATATCCCGGCTTATAATTTCATATTTGTAGTCATATTTAATTTAAATTTGAGAAATTTGGAAGGTTTTATTGTTCAAGATCTTTGGACACATCATGATTTGAATGGGTACTTGTGGGTTATCGGGACACATCGCTTTAAAAATAGGTTAGGTTAGGTTATGTTAGGTTAGGTTAGGTTAGTTGTCATTTATTGAAATAAAATATAATAACTTTCAAGTATGTGTCATTTATCCACACACATTAACCTAACCCAACCCAACCTAACCTAACCTAACCCAACCTATCCTAACCTATTTTTAAAGCGATGTGTCCGATAACACACAAGTACCTTGGAATGTTGCAGGTACATGGATAAACACAGGGACCCGAAGCAAGTGGCTAAGGAGTATCTGATGAAAAAGCTGAAGAACGTTCACCCGTTCAAGAAACCAGACCCACGTCCTATGTTTCCCAACGCATTCGCCACCGACAACAAACGCTTACCGTCGTGGCTTAGGGTGGAGATGAAGAAAGACAGACTGGGATGGGGAAGAATTAACGATTTCTGAAATGTTGCTATTCCTGTCTTGCGTAATAGCGCGATGTGAAATGTATAATTGCCGAAACAAAATATAAAAGGCTTGCATGCATTTTGTTGTCTTTGTTTGTTTTTATGGTCCACCTGGTTTGTGTTCTGTATTTCTACAAAAGATTATGGAGTGTGTATTTGCCTGAAATACAAGATATTGATTACAAAATGAAACAGCTCTATTGCAACACCATCACGAAGGACGTTTCTCCATGCCCTCTGTCCACTCAACAGATTTTTAGTTACGATCCACTCGGTGCTAAATTTAATCAAAATTCGTAGGTTGGCCTATAACCTCCACGTACTTACTTTTATGAGCTTTGCGCAAAGGGCGAATGAAAATATAAGCCCTAATAATAGTTGCACGTGTTCTCGCTCTGCAGTTAAAAAGTGTCGTTAAATAATCTAACATACATACAACTAAAATCTGTTAATATCCGATCCTTCAGACTCTGAAATGCGCCACATCAATATCCGATCCTTCAGACTCTGAAATGCCCCACATCAAAGTATCACGATTTACATAGTATAAGGCTCCATGATAACCAAATGCTGGAAGAACAATTGTTACTATAGTTTCATTTAAAATTCATGTTTAAATGTGCATATTTAATAAGCACCTGCAACTACATGTAAATAGAAAGGTTAATTATAAACGTCACTGTATATCATCAAGAACGAATATACAAATAAGCAAGGTTTTACATAACAAACACGGGATGTTAGCTTCAGTCGGCTAACGTTTCATTTATCGCTTGAATTAATATCTACAACAGAACAAAACAGTAATGAAAGCTCTTCTGCCTGTCTTATTTAGTATGGAAAACCTGAAACCCGCGTACTACACGGCTGCAAAACCCACCGAGAAGGAATAATTCCATTTGACTGAAAAAGCGATTGGTAATATAGGAAGTCAGTAATAAGCAGACGATCTAGTAAACATGGACATACGAAGAAATATAAATGGTTTCAAGTAATTGAACTGATAGTAAAATAATTCCCACTTACAAAGGAAAACGGCGATACGATGTTAAGGAATTCGTTTCTTCAGATTTGGTGGTCGGTGGAAATTGGGAGGGGGGGAGAGAGAGAGAGAGAGTAATATTTACCATTGACCACGAAAACATTAAAACCAATATTAAATTCATTATAACACAAAATATAGGATAAACCGAAAACTATTAATTACTATTAACGAATTAACTGTCTCTCAAGACACAAAAATCGAAGGTTCTCCTGCGACAATACCAAAACCTTCGGTTGGAAAAGATCCTAAGCCAGTTCAATCCACCATTTGTCACTAACTACGTATTTTTCTAAGCCCAATCTTAATGTTATCCTTCTATCGCCTTGTCGTCTTTCCAGACGGCTTATTTAAAAGACCTTTCCCCCCCCCCCATCACACATTAATTCATAATTGTTTCTACCACCTCATAAGTTCGCACACTCACCATGCTCGTATTATTGATGACAGGAAGTTAGAACGAAAAGACAATGATCTCCATTGATATTATCTTCACACGTAGTCTATTGTTTAACAAGTTATTATAAGTGTGACAGACTGAGGACAAAAGCTTGTTTCCTTAAGCAGACTAAAAAATGTAATCACAATAACTGAGAATAAAATAGTGTTTGACGGAGCTGTTTTTCTTACGTAAACGATTTGCAGGGCAGTGCACTCGTTGCTAACAGGAACATAATGAGAGCAGCTAATGTTATGTTACAAAACCTGGTTAATTTTAACAGACAACACAGTATTTATTCTGTGATATTCAGAAAGTCACAGGCAGTAAATATGCCATGTTGCAAAGCGATTAACAAGTATTCTTGCTAATTACACCGTAACAGCATCTCTCCATGGGGCAGAGTCCGTATTGAGAAGCCAAACTGTCGTTCAGCTGTCCAACAAATTCCCCCTCTTTCACGAAACCTGAAGGTTCATTACCGAGTTTGACTGTCACTAGCTCAGACTGTGCAGCGGCGATTAATGAGTATGGATTGTAAAGGAAATGGAGGAAGACAGACGAAGTATCCCGGAATTTACCTGCGGGACCAGTCTCTGGGCCGAGATTTGAACCCGGAACCTTCCAAATACGAAGCAGGAGTTCTGACAACTCTATCGCGACATTCAGTGTCAGCAGACCATGAATCATAAAACATTTAAGACGCATTTTAACATAATCCTATCATATTAGCCTAAGTAACTAACTAGATGGCTTACCGAACCCTGGGGTTCATCACCGAAGTAACCAAAGCCCTCCACCGGACCCTGTCCTGGGCCAACAAAATCCAGTCTCCTTCAACTCCTATCTCCCATAGATCCCGCCTGAGATTATCCTCCCATCTACGTCTAGGTCTCCCCAGATGTCTTTTCCCCTCAGGCTTCCCAAATAGTGGACCCAACCAACCAGATGGCTTACGGAATTCGAAGGTTCATCACCGAATTAACCAAAGCCCTCCACCGGACCCTGTCCTGGGCCAACAAAATCCAGTCTCCTTCAACTCCTATCTCCCATAGATCCCGCCTGATATTATCCTCCCATCTACGTCTAGGTCTCCCCAGCGGTCTCTTCCCTTCAGGTTTCCCAACCAGTACCCGGTGCACACCTCGTGTCCCATCCATGCGCGCTACATGCCCCGCCAATCTCATTCTTCTCGACTTAATCACCCTGACAATACTGGGCGAGCAGTACAGATTTTTAAGCTCATAATTATGCAGTTTTCTCCATGCCCCATTGTCTTCTCTCCTAGGCCCAAATATCCTCCTCGAACACCTGCAATCTGTGTTCCTCCCTCTGAGTGAGAGTCCATGTTTCGCTATCATATTAGCCTAGGTCTCCCAAATGGTCTCTCTCTTTTAGGTTTCCAGCTCGAATTTTGTATGCATTTCTGATATCTTATATGCGTGCTACATGCACTGATTTAATCGCCCTAACGACACACTACACCACGTTCTTCCACATTCCTTTCAACACACCCTTTTATTAACCGAGCGGCAGATCTCTGGACTTCTTTTCTGGAGGCAAACATTTCGAGTCTCTGCCGTGTCAGCGGGTATCGACAGGTATCAGAATTTCCCCCAGTTTCTCTGTAAAATTGCCGGTATTAGACCTCATATAAGACAAAGATTTGCTCCTTAGAAAATCTTAACTCATCACTGATTATGATCATGCTATCTCATTTCGACGCCATAAACCCTGCTGTTGAAACAGCGTCGTTTAAAATGTTGGTTCGCGTTATTCTGTGATGTACAAGGTGCAGATAATCTCCCTTACAATAAGTTCTGTCAAATGTCTAATGACTTACACAGTAAAAGGAAGATATGAAATTACAGAACTACACACTCTCTTGCCTGCCACGTGAACATCTCACGTCCACACCAGTAAATATTGAACAAATCGAGATGAAATGAGATACATCAGCATTGATGCAACCTGCTGGAGGCTAAAGGAGCTCATTACTTATCGACAAAACAAACATGTTGATCTAACAAGTGGTATTTTCTGTGACTGTCCTCCATTTTGACGGCAGACCTTAAATTTGTTTGGTTATGCACTTGGAGTTTGCGATGCATTGATGAAAATGTTTGAACTTAAAATGGACAGAGAAGGATTGTATTACGAGGTGCGATTGGAAAGTTTCAAGACCGCGCCTATAAAAACCCGTACACTTATCTCAGGTATTAAATTCATCCATCACCCTCGAAGTAGTTCCCCTGGGAGTGAACACAACGATCCCAGCGCCGCTGCCAAGCCTGGAAGCATCCCTGGAAATCTTTCTTTGTCAGCCTGTCAAGCACCATCTGCGATTCTGCCTGAATCTCTTCTATCGTCTCAAATCTCCTTCCCTTTAGCTGAATTTTCATCTTTGGGAAGAGGAAGAAGTCACACGGAGCTAAATCCGGCGAATAAGGAGGGTGCAGGATGACGGCCATGGTGTTTGAGGCCAAAAACTGCCGAACTTTGAAGGCGGTGTGCGCTGGTGCGTTGTCATGATGCGTCGCATGTGGAGTTCTTCCTTTAGAATCAGCGGACAGGTCCCATAGCCTATCCCAACAATGTCGCACAAGTCGTTGATGGTACGACGACGATCTTCGTAACATTTTCGGGCGTTGTGCTCGAAGATGGTCGTCCAGAACGCTCGTCATCATCGACAGAGGTTCGGCCATTTTTAAAACGTGAATGCCACACAAAAGTTGGTGCACGACCCATTGCGGACTCCCCAAATGCTGGCTTTAGCATTTCATAGGTTCCGGTAGCCGTTTTGGCGAGTCTTTGGCAAAATTTGATGCACACGCCATTCCGAAATCGCAGGAGGGTCGGTGTAATGCACTACCAAAACGCCCGTAACTAAGAAACAAATGCTAATTCGATGATGCCGGCTGGCACACTGATTCACTATGAATGTAGGCCGCAACCCCTAGCGGCAGAACCTCGTACTACATCCGGTTCGCCCTCTATTGACACAGTCTTGAAACTTTCCGATCGCACCTCGTACACAACGAGAAACCCAGGAGGGTAGCGAAATATGTGATAGTGATGGCGCCTAGTCGCTTATCTCTTCTTTTTATAACCTGAATCTGATGATAAGTAAGAATATTTAGTGTTCGTTTCTTGCAATGAAATAACACTCGCTTGTCAGTAAGGAGGTTAAAGTACAGAGACGTGTTGCATAAGACTGGCTTCGACAAGTGCGAACAGAGTCGCTACGTGGTCTTCGGGTGTGAAACACGTAAACACACAAGACTTGCCCATTGCGAATTTACTGCATTTCCTAGATGCAATGAATGGATTAGAGAATGCTGATTGTAAATCCTGAAGGGAAAAGACGTATCGAAAGATCCAGACGTAGATGGGAGGATAATATTAAAATGGATTTTACGGATTAATCGGGGGGGGGATTTCCTGACTAACTTGACTCCATGGTGTTAGATACAGACAGTGCATGCAGATGAATCAAGCTGATGTATTGTGGGTAGTCTACTTTAGCAATACTACTTTGTATATTACGTAATAAAGATTTTTTTTAGAACGTGGGGGTTTTTTGTAGAAAATTTTAAAA